GATGAAACTGCCTGTCATAAATATTTCAAATTCAAATTTGTATTCGTTTTTTTGTTTTTGTTTTGCACAGCTCTCAAACACGATCTACATGGCATAGAGTTACATTTTGGGCAATTTCGTGTATCATCGAAAAACATGTTGTAGCACATCACTCTAAAATGAATACAATTTGCAAACAAAAGACTTAAGACACAAACGTCAGTCAGTACTGGCTCGAAATCAAACAAAGCAAAAAATCAAAAACAGTTGTTTAAATTATCCCCCAAATCAGTCTCAATTGAAATTTTTTGAAATATTTGAAATGTCGAAGCATCCAGTAAACCCCTGATTTTTTGTATATTTTTTGCAATACACAAAAATTGTCATTAAACATTCGATTATGCAATCATCATTGCCAAAATAGAAACATATTAAAACAATCTTGAAGATAATAGGTAAGTGACACAACAACAACATAATATTCTAATGCACTCAAACCAAAAAAAAAAGAAATCATTACGCCATTTGATACAATTTCAAGTATATGCTAATTTCAAATCAAGTAACCAGAACCGGAACATATTTATCATAAATCGAATATGAAATAACATGTGCTTTAATAAAAAATACCTGCAGTCAGTACTGACTGCTCGGCACTTTTGCAAAATTCAAATTAGCCAAAGCTCAATCACAACCTTCAAGTGTCCACAGACTGTCGTCTCTTGAATGGGTTTTTTCTTAAGAAAGACCACTCTTGGTATTTCTTTTTCAAATTTCTCTTAAGAAGTAGTAGTAGCTTTGTTTGTTCAATATCATTTGACAGTTATATATATTTAATTTAATATTATTGTTAAACAAAAGTGACATATTTATTTGAAAGCTCATGCATTATATGTATATATACATTAATTAAAGTAGGGGGTTCCGTTTCTCTGCACATAGAGAGAAAAACTTTTGAACCTAAATGTTGCCAATATCCTCCTCTTCAAGTTTTGTGAACAAAAATTCGTTCATTTCGAAGAAAAATATCCCATTTATGCGTCTGGACCAAAATCCACACCAACCACTGATTTGTTTTGGGTGCAACGGCTTTTCAATGCATGCGTGCGGATTCTCTGTGCCTCAAATGCTTCAATGTTATTGTTAACATACCAGCCAAGATCAAAATGAGCTTCCCCTGAAAATATTTGTTTTCAAAATCTGCATCTTTTGTATGTCTATATCAGGTTCACTTAACGAAACGAAAACGCGTTAGACTTGGTTCCAAGGTCTTTATGCAAAATTCGTGTTAATGATGTCTCCGAAATTTTCAATTGTTAGGAACAACGACGAATTAATGTTGATGGCGCTTCACTCACACTCTCTTCCAATCAGCGTTCGAAAATAAACAGTACACTAACATAGTGTACTGTACCGGTACAGTATCACTAAAAAAATTTTTAGCGGTAGTGTTCCGGTACACTACCACTAAAAAATATTTTAGTGATACTGTACCGGAACACAACGATGATCGTAGTGTACCGCAGTCGGAGCGCTAAAAAATCGTAGTGTACCGCAGTCGGAACACTAAAAAATCGTAGTGTACCGGAGTCGGAGCACTAAAAAAACGTAGTGTTCCGCAATCGGTGCATTAAAAAATCGTAGTGTAGCACATGACCACATTAGAAAATCGAACTGATTTTAAACACTCAGCCATACACTGTAAAATATTTAGTTTTTTACACCAACACTCATTCATTTTTCGGTACCACAAAATAGCAGGTAAATTATTTGCATAATAACCCATTGCAATGCAACCACTAAAATACCCTTTTTCGTGGAAAATTTCAATTTTGAATGGTTAAATACAAATTATTATGACTTCAGATTTGGTCCTTTTTTATTCTTTCTACCTATTCCCATATTTTTCTACTTTCTTCAATCTTGCAACCAATCTAAATATACATGACAAATAAAATAAATCCAGCTTTTATTTTCATAATATTGAATTATGCTAGTAATTTTTGCATTATCAAAAACATAAAACATCTAATTTTTCTCACAAATCGTAAACAACACATGTGTGGTACACTACCGATACATTATTTTTTTAATGTTCCGCCATGCGGTACACTACGATTTTGTAGTGCTCCGACTGCGGAACACTACGATTTCGTAGTGCTCCGACTGCGGTACAGTACGATTCTTGTTGTGCTCCGGTACAGTATCACTAAAATATTTTTTAATGGTTGTGCTCCGGTACGGTACATTATCTTAGTGTACCACTCCACCTCGGAACGGTACAGAACACTACGGTACAGTACCATACTGTTTATTTTCGAACGCTGCTTCCAATACAGTAATATTCTCGGGCTTACGCAATGTTTTTGGATTGCAATTGTGGGGATTATGTCCGTTTTTTCTTTTTTTTTTCTATACCCTCCACCATACATAGTATGGAGAGTATATAAAGTTCGTCATTCCGTTTGTAACTCATCGAAATAATCATTTTAGACCCAACAAAGTATATATATTCTTGATCAGCGTAAAATTCTAAGACGATTTAGCCCTGTCCGTCCGTCTGTTGTAATCACGCTGCAGTCTAAACGAATTAAGATATGAAGCTAAAATTTTTCACAGATCTATATTTTGTCTGCAGGCAGGTCAAGTTCGAAGATGGGCTATATCGGTCCACAATATCGTATAGGCCCCATATAACGGCCCCATATAACGGCCCCATATAACGGCCCCATATAACGGCCCGGCCGAAATTACTGTTTTTTACTTGTTTTTGGTCATATCTTCCATAATAAAGTTCGTTTCCAAAACGATCTTAAACCCCAGGGGCAGTATGACCGTTTGCGAATAGAAAACAAGGCTAATGTTGAGTTTATATTCTTTGCTCGGATTGACCTGAAATCACAATTAGGTATTTTTTAACCTGATTACTGTAAAGTCATTTTTTCGTGGGGGGAAATTCACGGTTTTCGAAAGTTCGGAAATGGGTATTTTTCGAAAGCTTATGGAAATACCTATCCCACAAGATAGATAATATGATTGACGGTTATATGATACAAGATAATTTGTATTTTTGTACCAAAACTTAAAACCTCTTCAAAAATTAGATAATGGACCCATTCTGGGCTGCATTATAACCTACACTCTTGCCTTTCAAATTGGAGCTATATGTGTTGAAATCTCATGTAGTTCAGAAGATATTGACTTTAAAATTTAAGGTCGGCTACTCATAAAGTTTAGACAAAACTATGGAGAAAATCTCAGGACTCCACCGAAGTCCGGCTAGTGATGTTATGAAAGTTAGATACATATTATTGGACTAAGTTAAAAATACATACCCAATAATAGGGTATATGTCCGCAATAGTTTTGGACATAATCCCCATTATAATGGGGTTCAAATTTAGATATAGCAACCCATATATATCGTCAACCGCATTTAGGTTAATTGTGTACCAAATGGCCAATATCAACCCAAATGACCTTAATTTTAGCACCTCACCGGCGTAATATACAGGGTGACATAAAAAACTGCAACAAAGTCAAACGCCATAATTTTTACATTTTTTTAATTTTATTGAATGAAGGCATAAAAGTCGGAAATAACATCAAATTTTAGAATAAGTTTGGATTTCTTCGAATTGGTCACCTTAGGCACGAATAATGGCCTTCAAACGGCCAATGAAACCGTCACAAGCTGTCCGAATGTTGATCTGCCGTATTTTGGCGAAGCGTTTGCTTGAGGTGATCGTCACTTTGGTATTTTTTGTGCCAACCTAGCTTTCCGAAATACTCCAGAAACAATAGTCCAACGGATTGTTATCCGGAGATGAAGCGAGAAACCTCATTTTGTAACCATTCTTGGGTGGCGCGTGCTGAGTGCGATGGTGCTGAGTCCTGTTGGAATGTCCAAGGTCTGCGGCCAAAATGTTTGCTTCAATACACCCTCCAGAATATTTTCGCGATAATATTCGGCATTTATTCTGATACCACGGTCGATTAATACGAGCGGAGCGACCATCGGCTATTATGGCTGCCCACACTATCACCATGGCCGGCGCTTGGGTTCTGGGTACACAACCGAAGGTGCACATTTTCAGCTGACCTCTTTGGCAAGTAGACACGATCATTTTGTTTGGTTACAACCTTCTGGACAACGAATGTTTTCTCATCGGAGAAAACCAAATTCGGCGTTTCATCGCTTTCGGCCAAGCGAGGCAACTGTTTAGCTCTTTTGAGTCTATTTTCTTTCTGTTGCGATGTAAGTTCTTGCAGTTTTTAATCCGAGCTCATTTTTCAATATTTGCCGAATGGAATATTGCAATATGTTCAGCTCCGGAGCCATTTGCAGCCACTGCGACGCGGGTTTCTATCATGTCGCTGATGTTGCTGTATCTTCCGTCCAATTCCTTGACGTCTGGCTGGGCTATCAGTATCACGGTTACGAGCGATGGTACGAGACACAAAAGATTTATTTACATTCAAATGCTGGAGTGCTCTAACGATAGCCACTTGTGGCTTTCCAGCCAAATCCAGCCAAAAAAATCACACTAGCACGCTTGAATTTCAATACGAATAACTTTTTTTCGGGAAAATTCTCACCAAAATGATTTAGTACGCTTGTAAACAATGTAATGAGCTGTCGCTGGAATAATTTTTAGAGCTGTCGTACGAGTGGCTTAGAAATGACAGCAGTCTTAAGTTGGTTGCAATTTTTTCATCTCACCCTGCATTTCATCCTAATCACGAAAAGTAGTACATAACTAATATTGCTCATTTGAGCGGACTTAGTCTCTTGAGAAATGCAACATGGTATTAGCCGTTTGCTTCTGATCAAGTTATTTTAGTCTGACGTTACTCCCTTTTGAGGCTTTGTACTTTTGTATTTCCCAGCATTTTTTTAGGGGTAGAAAAGACTTATATTATACTTTATATGGAGGCGGGACCTTTCTAGGTTTTATAACACTAACTATCGATAAAATACATTTAAAATGGTATATATCATTAATAATTTTTTATTTTCAGGGGCTTATAATTGAGGCATCCCGATTATATTTATATCCTAAGGTAAGCTATACCCAAACTGAACCCTTAATAATTTTTAATTTTTAATTTTATTTCTAAATTTATTTTGGGTTAAAGGAATGTTAGCCTCTTTTTATTTTTATACCCTCCACCATACATAGTATAGAGGATATTAAGGATTAAGGAGGAGATTAAGGATGGATATTAAGTTCGTCATTCCGTTTGTAACTCATCGAAATAATCATTTTAGACCCAACAAAGTATATATATATATTTTATCAGCGTAAAATTCTAAGACGATTTAGCTCTGTCCGTCCGTCTGTTGTAATCACGCTACCTTCTAAACGAATTGAGATAGGAAGCTTTGCACAGATCTCTCTTTTATCTGCAGGCAGGTCGAGATGGGCTATATCGGTCCACGATATCGTATAGCCCCCATATAACGGTACCCCCCGGAGTTCTTTGTGAGCACTTTAACCCCTGAAAAGTAATTGTCTATATAGGTCTACAATATCGTATATCGGCATCTTCCGATATTAGATTTTTTTAAAGATTTTAACAGAATTTTTAATAGATTTTATTTTTTGAAAATTTTCTAATTCGTTCCAAATGGTGGAGGTTATTCAAAGTTCGGCCCGGCCGAACTTACTGCTTTTTTATTGTTTTTTTTTTTTTTTACAAGACTTAATATTAAAACGCCGACTCCACCTGCGGTTCTTAGTTAACAGATAACATTAGTTTCAACAACATCAATAGTTTAGCCAATAACAAGAAACGACCAATCAAATCACAACATTGGTTAAGCCTCGAACTCAAACTCTAACCTGTCAGCTTCAAAAAACGTCCAAATTGTTACAATGTCCGCTATGTGATAATCGATGCCAAGCGTTCAATGTTGCTGTGCCTTTGTGTGGTGTTGCGCATTGCATTGCAACGCTTGGATTCCTTATCAATTTTATTGTCACTGTGACCGTCATCCCGGGCCACAGCCAATTTGTGTCAATAGCTGTAAAACGGAATGGAAATGAAAACACAAAAACAAAAAAGATCGAAAAGAAAAAACGTCAGTTATTTCGTGGTTTTTGGCGGCTGAAAGTGAAAATAGGAAGTAGGAGCACAAGCTAAACAACGACAACAACGTTAGTTGTAGCTGCATATATTTGTGTGTATGTAAGTAAAATAGTATACGACGATTAAAATATATGTTTGGACACTGAAAAAAAAAAATTATTTAATTAATAAAAGAAACATGCGTAAAAGTATCTGTCGGTCCTGCCAACAGAGCTATACCCTCAGCCAATGTTCGATTATTTAAATATATTTTTAGTTCTGTTATTTTTATTCAAACTCTTGACCCTCCTTGGAGAGGATTCTGAAGGAATGGGCCAATATTGTCCATTTCATATCGGACCTAAATAAATACGATATAAATATAAGCGACCTTGCAGGTTTGGACTATATTGGTAACATCCTTCACTTAACATGAGATACTTTTTAGAAAATGTTAACAAGTGCGTGGGGTGCCAGATATAGTCTGGCATATATATAAACAAGTAAGCAAAGGCTACAGTCGAGCGGGGCCGACCGTTGAATACCCTACAACACTATAATAAACGATACAGATTATATAGGCGAGATACTCGAAAGAATTCCACAAGATATTGTGACAAATAATAAAAGAAAACCAGGTTTCGTTCTATAATTTTCGAATAATAGAAACTTAAAATAATTTGCTCATTTCCAATTTAGATCTGGAACCAATATTTCCCAAAGACCTATAATCTCTAAGAAGTGGCAAAAGATTAACATTTATTATTGCTTTTTGACTGAAACGCATCTATATGAGATACAGCCATTTGACTATATTCTTCAACGAAATCAGCGTTAACGAAATAGTCAGAAGTGCGTCTTTCCTGTATTTGTGAATTCTCCAAAAAGACACTGGAATGGACATTTTCGTATTTTGTCTATAAAAGTTGGCAAACTCCTTCACACATTGAATATTTTTGGATGGCTATCCAAAACTGCTTGGCTTTTGCAATGTCCGGTAACCCCCATAATTACGACCTGCTGACAATTTTGCAGTTTTTTGGTCCATTTCAACCCCTAAATATATGGCGATCATCTCCAAAAAGAGTAGGCTTTTATTCTGACCCTCATCTTATCTCCATGCAAAATTTCGTAAGGATCGGGCCATAAATGCGATCTGTGTATGATATACTGATATCCTAACTACTTAGTTTTGTTGGCTGTAGAAATATTACCAAATGTTTAATTCAAAATGAAAATATGCCAAAAATATGACAAAATTGAAAAAATATGAGAAAATTTTACAAAATCATCATTTCATCTTTAGAGAGATATTTTTATGAGATTTTTTTAGACGTTTTTTTCTTTCCTGCCAAGAGGCCATTCTGAATTAATGAGAACTGTCGAAATCAGTTCAGCCGTTCTCGACATATAAGAGATTTTTCAAGCATATCTTCTTTGATAGACATATATATCGCACAAATTTTGCTATATATTCGATTTGTTGGATCTTAACATCAATGTAAAGATCAGAAGTACCCTTGTCATGGCTTTGTGATTTCGCCGGGATTTGAAATATTCGCGGTTTAATGAAAAATTTTGAATTTTTTCAACAAAAAAGATATGGTCTATTTTAGCCGCTAAATATTATCCGATGACCACCCAAATGGGTAGGCTTTTTTGGTCCATTTCAACCCCTAAATATTATGCGATCATCACCAAAAGAAATAGGGTTCTATTCTGACCCTAGCCCCACCTCCATTTTAAATTTCGTGAAGATCGGACCATAATTGCGACCTGTAGAGTGATTACAAATTAACATGGACAGACGGACAGACGGACGGACATACATAGCTAGATCGACTCAGCTCGCCGAGATAGGAAGATCCATATATACTTTCCTATATGGGAAATCAATATTTCGTGGTGTTACATAATTTTTGGCCCAATCAAACTTATAATACCCCCAACACATAGTGTTGTAGGGTATAAAAAATGGGTATGGACAATATTACAAGAAAAACTAAAATTTATATCCAATTTATGGAAAATCATAAGTTCCATATTCATCTCAGGTTTCCGGCAAAGAGAGAAATATTAAGATATAGCAAGTTGTAAAAAATCGCTGACTTGTTTCGCAAGTTATGACAGAATTAAGTATTAAAAATTGTAACCCTATGTTAGTGAGGTACCAGAAGGGGTTCACAGATATATATCATCTGCACAACAGATATTGTATTATCAACAATGTTTGTATGTGCGAAATGTGAAGATTTTTGAATGCGTATTTCGCTTTCTTTGAGCGTTTTCTTTTCCAAAAACTTTAACTCTATGTGGAGCAGGTAGCAAAATAAATGGTCCGATCTCTACCATCTTTATAACAGATCTTACATTGATGGAAATATTGATATGTACTAAGTTTTGAATGGAATCGGGTGTTAATTTCGTTTTTTAAGAGCTTCATGGATATTCAAAATTTTGAGCCTTTGTGGGGGAGGTACCAGAAGGAGTGGACCAATATATCCAATCTTCACAACAGATTTTTTGTTAGTGGAAATAATGGGATGTGTGAAATATAAAGAGAACTTGGTGCTTATTTCAGATTATATAAATGTTTTGGTTATTCAAAACATTGACCCTTTGTAAGGGAGGTACTAAAAGGAATGGTCGGATCTCTTCCATTTTTATAAAAGATACAGTTTTAATAGAAATACTCGATGTGCCAAGTCTTGATGGAATCGGATGTTAATTTCGCGTTTTATGAGCTTAATGGATATTCAAAATTTCGACCTGTTGTGGGGAGGTACCAGAAGGTATGGACCGATATATTCCAGACCAGATCTTGGGTTTATAAATATATTGGAATATGTGAAATTTTAAGACAATCGGATTCTTACATCACATTTTATAAGAGTTTCAATTATTCAATATTTTTAACCCTTTGTGGGGGAGGTACCTGATGGAGTGGACCGATATTGTACATTTTCGCACCTGACCTAGCACTGACTCAAATATTAGGATTTGCTCAGTTGGATCAAAATCGGATTATCATTTCTCTTTCTGTGCAAAAAATATTTTTTGAAAATTTCGACCTTTAGTAGGGGAGGTACCAGAACGAGCGGAACGATGTATTCCATCTTGGCAAAAGATCTTGGGTTAATAACATTATTGGGATGTGTGAAATTTGAAGACAATCGGAGACTTACATCACATTTTATAAGAGTTGTACTTATTTAAAATTTGGCCCTTTGTGGGGGAGGTACCTGATGGAGTGGACCGATGTATTCCATCTTGGCACCAGACCTTGGGTTAACAAAATCAATGGGATATATGAAATTTGAAGACAATCGGATACTTACATCACATTTTATTAGAGTTGTACTTATTCAAAATTTGACCCTTTGTGGGGGAGGTACCTGATGGAGTGGTCTGGTATTGTCCATATTCGCACCTGACCTAGCACTGACTCAAATATTAGGATTTGCAAAGTTGGATCAAAATCGGATTATCGTTGTTTTTTTGTGCAAAAAATATATATTTTGAAAATTTCGATCTTTTGTGGGGGAGGTACCAGAAGGAGCAGACTGATATATTCCATCTTAACACCAGACCTTGAGTTGATAGGAATATTGGGATGTGTGAAATATGAAGACAATCGGACTTTTACATAACATTTTATAAGAGTTGTAATTATTGAAAATTTTGCCCCTTTGTGATGGAGGTACTTGATGGAGTGGACCGATATTGTCCATTTTCCCACCTGACGTAGCACTGACGTAAATATTAGGTTTCGCAAAGTTCGAGCAAAATCGGATTATTCTTTCTCTTTCTGTGCAAAAAAAAAATATTTTTTGAAAATTTCGAACTTTTGTGGGGGAGGTACCTGAAGGAGTGGACCAATATTGCCCATCTCCGAACTCGATCTAAGTTTTACAAAAATATAGCGATGTACCAAGTTGGACCAAATCGGATACTCCCTTCGAGAGTTATCGGAAGGACGGGCTTTGCTAGAT